TGAATTGGTGGGTTTTTGTTAAATGTGAGCCAAAATCATCACAATTAAAAGAACCAAAGACTTAAACTACTTCAGTCTGTGTGCACTGAATTTATTTAATACACGAGTTTCACAATTTGAGTTGAATTACTGAAATAAATGAACTTTTCCATGACATTCTAATTTATTGAGATGCACCTGTACTTATTATAAGTGTACCGTAGTGATTCGGAATAAGACAAAAACGCGGTTTGGAAGATGAATTCATGATGTACTCGCTCATTATATACATTTTGCAAATTTTTAACACAGAAAAAGTTACATAGTGCTGCTTTAAAACTATGTATCTATTCTGGTATTAATGTTATGGCACTGTCTGTATTTGGTATCTGAGAGGTGACTGACGGCATGCAGTAACAGTGTTTACTCATTCAGCCCGGCTTCCAGAAAATAAATATGTATTTGTTTTGTAATAATTCATCTGAATCATTATATGATCAAAAGTTATATGTCTTTAGGGCAATTGAGGTCACTATGCATCACATGTATCCACTAACTCTTATGTATGTTTAACATTTATAATACTTTTTAGGGTTTATAGCACCAGTTGCTCTATGTTTTGAAGTTGCTAGAATTATCTGTACTGTTAGCGTATCACAACACAACCATATATGACTATAAGTACTAGTGTTTGTGTATTCTAAGTTAGTTCGAGGATGGCTTCTCTTACTCATTTTCTAAAGTTTTTGGAAGAGTGGAAAATTCTGTCTTCAGTTCTCTCTATGGGGTTTAACTGTAATTCCCCTACACCCCTTAAATACTTTAATGACAGTAAGTTGTCCGGTCAGTTCAAGTTCAGCCACATCTTCTTTGTGGGAGTGGTTTCCTTTTTCTTCTTAAATTCTGCAGCACTTCCGCTCACATTCATAGTAAAGTTAACCACCTTACTGCATATGAATTAAACAACACAGAATGAGGACGGTGCAGCTTTTACTCTTCTGTAAGTTTAAGTTCATGCAAGATTTTGTTCTGTTTTTATTATGGCCGTCATGTGTTGAATTGCTGTGGAAATAGAAATAATCTGAATGATCTGTGTGTTTTTGTGTAGGTCTGCTGGTGTGTCAAACCACAGAGCATTTAACTGATAAACTGGTGAATTTAGGGCAAAACGTGACTTTAGACTGTCAGATTGATGTAAAAGACATTTATTGGGTTTTCCAGAAACGGACAGATTCTCCAGTGCCGATACTGCGAACTTTCACACCAGACTCTACATCATCTCATCTAAAAGACCAAAGTCTGAAAGACAAATATTCATCACTAACTTTGAGCCGTTTATTTATTAGTAATGTATCTATTGATGAATTAGGAATATATTATTGTGTAAAAACAGGCTCATTTCTACAGCTCAGTGATGGAATTAGACTTGACATCATTGGTGAGTGTATATAACATTATCTTGATAAATCAGTTTGATCTGTTGTTGAATGATCTAAAAGCAGTTACCACATGCACATTGCACAGTGTGTTAAATTTGTATTTGTCCTTTATTTCTATCAGAGGTCTATGCAATATTGATGCATATTTGGAATTTATGAACACAAAACTCTTGTATGTTTTGTTCTTAAGCTGCTCAAGATCAGAATCAGACAGAACTGAACAATCAGTCACAACATCCGAAAACACAGCAGGCTCTGATTGTGTTATATGTTATATTGAACATTGTGATGTTTTCTGCAGTAATAGGTGAGAATTCAGGACTCGACATATCATATAAAATAATAATAATATAAAAGATGTTCTTTAAATGTTTTTTGTATTACTTGATACTTTTTGCTACATTCCTTTAGTGATGAATTTTATAATATTTAATCAGAAATGTTGGTGCTGTTTAAGGCCTATTTCAGATCAAACTCCAAGCGTGTAAAAAAAGACACCAACAATGTCAAGATGAAGAACTGGAGCAGCTTTACAGCACAAATGGTGAAGAGGTACGACACTCTTATTCAGAATTCAGTGTGTGTTTATTGAATATAATCTTTCTACGTGGACATTAGAAGCTCATTTATCTTTTGTTTGGCAGTTTTCTGAAGTGGAGTTTCGTCTGTTTCACCCGACCAACAACACTTTTGTTCCTTTTCAAAAGCCAATGACAAAACCTAGACAAATATAATCAAGAGTAAATTGTCTCATACAGTTTAATAGAAGTATATTTTGATAAATAATCACAGAAAAAAAATTGTTAGCTTGATTGTTGGTTAAGATTGACTGATGTGAATTACCTGAGCATGTAATGAAATATTATCAATATTTTTTCAGCATTACTTCTCTTTACTTTTCAGTATTAATATATTCAAGTAATGTGAGGTGACATATAATGTTTCCTGTGTTCTGATTGGTTGGACTGGCTGCGAAAACCATCTTTGGGAAAAATTCAATTGAAGTGTCATTTTGATTTATTAGTTTGGCTCACATGCCATTCCCTTTAGAAGGCGGGGTTTATGAGCTGTACTGCAGTCAGCCACCAGATGGCGATGGAAATGTTTTGGCTTCACTTTTCAAGATGTGTGAGGCACACTTGCTTTGCATAGGTTAAAGGGGTCATATGATGCGATTTCAAGTTTTCCTTTCTCTTTGGAGTGTTACAAGCTGATTGTGCATAGATAAGATCCCTGAAGTTGCAAAGACTAAAGTCTCAAAACCAAAGAGATATACTTTATCAAAGTTAAGACACTGCCACGCCTACCTAAAAGGGCTCGTTCTAACACGCCCCCACATATCTAGGTCACTATGTGGAAATATTTGCATAATGCCACCCAAATGTGCACCAAAGAAAGAAGGCGTGGTTTCAGTAACCGCAGTTAGTGTTGAAGCAGCCATGTCAGGGAGACGCTGTGTGTTTCTAGGCGAAAGCAAAAGCACTTTATTTGGCCTTCCGAAAGTAGATGCATTTAGGAATCTTTAAGATCACTTACAACAGAACAG